ATATAATAATTATAATATAATATATAATTATTAATAATAAAATAATAAATACAAACAATATAAACACGTGCTCTAACAATGTGATTGAGTAATATATCTCTTACAGAGCCCACATAAGCAAAAGGGCTGGAGTTTGTGTCTCTTATGAGACATGGGAGGCGAACGGAGCCCTGCAGAGCTAATATAAAGCTGAAGTGCATCCAAAGCTTTATCATTAGATGCATCGAAAGAGCACAGCAGCCAAGGGGTTGGGTCTAAAACAACAGCACTGCAATTACTGCCAGATGCGTTGAGGGTAACATGAAGAATTAGCTCCACATCACAGACATGTGCACCAAGACTGTCGTGACAGGCAAAGGGAGGTGTTTGCCTTCCACCCAGGCAAGAGAGGACACAGCACTAGAGTAGACACAGCCCTCTAACTAGCCTTTTCATGTAAGGCAATGACATAGATGACTGTAATAAACCCCTGCATGCTTGGTGAGGTAAAACTCTTGAAAGCTAAATTCGAAGCAGGAGGAGAAATACATCAGACGAATCTATTGTCATGTAATGGAAAGACTAAGAATTTGCTACAGTTTTGTCAGAGTGAGAGTGCCTGGATGCAATGAAATACTTGAGATCAGGCTGATTAAAGGAACCAAGCAGCCATTTTCAGAGGATGCACAGAAACCTCAAACTAGGAAAAACATTATTTCCTCTAATGGAAAACAGCTGTTCAGCAGCAACAGTACAGTAAGATAAATCTAATAGGAAGACAGGCCCATCTGGACTCCCAGGTCTCCTGCAGATCTGCAGCTGGTGCGGATTAACATAGTTTGAACAGAGTTCCACAAAGCCAGAAGACATCAGATGATTATCAGTTCAGAGTCTTTAGCCAGCTTCAGGTACAAACAACTACTAATATTTTAGAAGACTTTGATGTAAAGAACCTCTGAATATATAGAAGAAAACAATTAACCCAAGATACCAGAAAACTCTGGGCAAGCCATCTGAAAGCTTTCAGATAAGTTGTATGAAATGGTGCAAAGCCTATTCTGAAAAGTAAATACACAAAATATTGATGCAGAGAGCAAACAACAGCTGCTTGAATATGATGTCTTAGAGCAGGATAACTAAGCTGGCTGAAGAAAACAGAAATTTGTTATTTAGAATTAATCTCGTTTGAGTGGCTGTATTAAAACAAACTGCAGGATCTCTGAACACCAGTAAAACTTCTATGTGAGGAGAGTCAGACGACACTACCAGACCACTCTCTGAAAGCTTGTTAGAAGCACGGATCAAGTAGTATGTAGGAAAGAAGAACGGATGGAAATAGGGTATCATTAGATCAAATGAGAAATACAACAAAAATCTTAAGTTTGGCCCTGTTCGGAAGAGGATCTGGACTGTCAAACAACTTCATTAGTGCATGTATCAACTGGCAGCGTTTCTCAAGTCCGAGCTGCATGCTTGTTTGCTACCTGAATTAGTGGTAGTACTGCCCCCCACCAAAATGTGGTTCACCACTCACAAAAAAGAAGTGCCTCCTGCCTCCCATCACCAGAAAATTGGCTATTTGTGTTAATATTTTAAAAGCATTCAATGAACAGTGGTCATGATACACGTGTCACTGGAAAAAACAGAGAATGAGTAGTGATCCCAGGACCTGCAGATGAGTTTCTCAAAGGCTTGTTAAGTTGAAGATGCTGATATAGACATTTCTCACTGAAGAACAAAGAATGCACCCATGTTTTAAAAACTGCACACATCCTAAGTTATGACTTCTGGTGCTTGGCAAATTCTGGTCAGACTCTTGCCCTTATTTTAAGGCTCATCTAAAACTCACACTGACTTCTGGGAAGTATGATGCACCCTGGACTGCAAGGAACTTGCTTCTGGCTGTGTATGATGTAAAGAAACAAAGGAGGGTTAGAAGCGAGAAATATGAATGTGTGTGGTCACCTCAAATTCCACCATCGCTTTCTTCATGCTCTCCACATCAAAAATCATCTTAATAAGGTCTTGGATTGGCTTAGCAAGTTTCGATTTAGTCCCAGCACTCACTGTCAGTTTCCTGACAGCTTCTTCATCCTGGCAGGTAAAAATAGTATCAGAATTAGCAAAATCACAAAGGATAAAAGTAACAGGCTGGCTGCCATGGCAACAACTCAAAACCAATTTAGTGTATGCATACTATGACTAGCCTGAAGTTCATGAGGAGCGTGGGACATTGCTGACATTTTGGAATAAAGAGGGTTTAAAAATCCACCTATTCAGCAATTTGGCAGATATTATTTCAAGAGGTAGCACTGTAAAACATAAGCAGAATTAAGGGAACACAAACTCTGTATGCATCTCTGTTTCACCTTAGGCAACAGTATTAATTACTTTTTCTGCAAGCTTTCTGCTGCATTGAGACGCTGAGATGAAAAAATGACTGTTTACTTTGCTGCTTTTAAAAAACACACAAATAAAACAGAGATGTAATAACTAGTTTTGCTAAGTTTTTGTAATAAAAACTGTCATAGATGAGTACAGGAAACATCAATTAGCCATAATATCATCTAGATGCTTTCGTGGATAGAGCACTGCACCAATAAAGCACCTGCCAGATGCTTAAGAATATCTCTGTACCTTGCAGTGTAACAGACACTTTGCCGCTGCAATATTCAAATTTCTAGAAATAAAGCTAAGCATGGAGTACTTCATGCTGAAGGATGACAACCAGTAATTTGGCCACAGAAAAATGCAGTGGCTTGAAAATATGTCCTCTGGTATCTTTATAGCTGTTAACAGCATCCAACTATTTCATCTGAAAAGAGTTTAAGTTATGGGTATGTCTTTAAATAAGCACACAAACACCCACTGGGGAGAAGGAAGAGAATTCTTCTTTAGCATAGCTGTCTACATAGCCAAATCTTACTAGCGACGAATAATTTCTCTTTCTCAGCCGGCTCAATATGCGCACTAAGCAAAGGAGTTGCTTCACCCTTTGCAAGGATTTTGGATGCGAAAGACAGATGAGAAACATCTATTTTAAATAAAAGAAAATGGTGTGAATAATTTCTTTCTCAGCCGGCTCAATATGTGCACTAAGCAAAGGAGTTGCAACGATTTTGGATGCGAAAGACAGATGCGAAACATCTATTTTAAATAAAAGAAAATGGTGTTTCAGACAGAAGTATGTGAAATGACTGCTGAATTAAGTTCAAACTAACATCCTTAGCATTACAGAGTAGACAGGCATGAGCACTAAAGGGACTTCACACTTGACAATGCGAAACTACACAGTTTCCCAACACATCTGTTGTAATGCATGACACTCATTGACCTACAGCTTGCTTTCTGTAGCACACAGAAGATGCAATAGTTGCGCCTGCACTTCATTCCTCAGGTTCCTTAACTGCAAGTGATCCAACAGCAAGCACAAAACAGAACAGCTAAAGGAAAGCAGCTGAGCAATGCTCCACCTGGTACAGGATCGTTTCAGTTACCTGCCCATAATCTATTTCCAGCGGGTAGAATTTTTTGGGATATTTAGTGAAGTTCTTTGAATGCCAAGAATTGCCAGTTTTCTCTTCATACAAATTCAGGAAGTGTTCAACGGCATCTTCTTTTGAGGGCATCTGCTCCAGCTTGTTACTCCCAATTACAGTGCCCACGCGACCCCAAGATCTGAACACCCAGTACCTAGAGAAGTAAATCACGAGAAAAGAACAGACATAAGATACTCTGGCTCTAGATCTCAGTCCAAATGAAACTGATCCTGTGACAATCATGCAACTGCAGGCAAATCAGCCATTTGCATACTGCTAATTTTATGGAAGACAATCTCTGCCAGCGACTGCGGAAGAGTAACAGAAAAGCCACCAGAGAGCGTTATGTCCAAGAAGTGGTGTAAAAAATTGCCCAGAGTTAACACTCCAGACCTACAGCCCTGAGGATAAACGCGTGCACACCAGGAATAGAGAGGCTAGAATCATTTCAGTGCTAATGTTTCACAAATACAAATTTTCAGGCCATTGGGATCATTTATTTGAAAAACAAACACCATGCATCTTTAACCCTCTAGTCCTAGAGTTCAGATTTTCGGAGAAATCAAAAGTAATTTAAGTATTTGTTTTTATTCCTGACACCCCTTGGGAGAGCTTCCATATTGCTTACAATCAACCAACCTTTCCCATTTATCAGGCATGAAACACAGACATGGAGATCCCTCCACGTACTGAATGACAGATCCAGATATAAACCCCACATACAAGAGCCAGCAACAAAAGCTTAGTATGAACATAGTAAAGTGCAATAAATCCAGAGCTGAACCAGGGCTGTTGCTGACAGCCATTAGCTCCCCTAGATTTCCGTGCATCCCTTACGTAGTTGGGGGAGCAGTTTCCTTTTAAAGATCCTTCTCCGTTTCTTTATGTGCATTCAGAAATGCAACCACTGGACAGCTCTGCCACATGTCTGATGAGACTGGAAAGCTAAACACACATGATCATCCCCTGACCATTTCAGTGCATTTTGTTAAGCCTCAGGGCACCCAATTCAGGACTACACTGTGGTAGAATAGCCAGCATCTGGTTTTGTTTCCTGAGGTTACAGCTTTGCAATTAGGAGACAAGAATAAGTTGGAGAACATGGGAATGATTCCCAAAATCGCTGACTTTACACGTGGGGTCTTGATGTTAGAACAGAGGAACCTCTACCAAATTCTGTTTCTGTACTTTCAAGGGCAGCCATCAGTCCCAGAGTACTGTGGCCCTCCTGTTAGCCAATTAACCCAGTCCTAAAGACATCAATTGTACATGCCTCACTCATCCTAGGATGCAGGAATGAACACTATCAGATGCAATTCTGCGAAATTACTCATCTCCCAATTTAGGTTTTGTCAATATGACAAAAACATCCCCACACCAAGCACGGATTTCTCCAAGGGTGGTTTGTTGTTTGGTTGTTCTGTAGTTTTTGTTGTGGTGTTTTTTTTTTTTTGTTCTGGTGTGGTTTTTTAATTATAATTTTTATTTGTTTTGAGTTGTTTTTTTAAAAAATACATATACCTATCCATATCTCCTCACAAAGACATTTTACTCATACTTTGCTTTTGTAGATGCCAAAAATCAAGTATGTATTGGAAAACATGAACAAAAGTATTTCTAGGGAAAACTAAACTCACCTGTTCTCTCTGTCATCCTCTAGCAGCTGCAGTTTATAATAGGAGTTTGTTCCTTTCACAATATCTACTAGGCCCAGGGTAGCACTAAAAATCTTTCCACCTTTTTCAAAGACATGAGCAGAATCTTCCAAACCTACAGAGAATAAACAAATTACAACAGAGGACGTTACCATTTTAGGTGTCCTTCCTACCTTTGCACTCACCCAAACATTTCGTCAAGTAGCATGAATCTTAACAAAAACACCACAAAAGCAGAAACCATCTAGTCACTGAAAACTATTCAAAGCATGTTTTCTTTTCAATAAACTGCGAGCATGCATCTTTAGATACACTGGAGCAAACCTCAATCCTAACTAGAGAAAAAAACCCTGTAACTTTTGAAAAACAATCATCTAAAATCTCATATTTAACACTGTATGACCAGCTGGAGGAATTCTCAAAAGAGATACAGCTCTGCAGGGCTCACATTAGCAAACAGACTGAAAAACCGAAGGCTGGCCTTGGACACAGTATGAATTCTCAAAACAAAGTCTGTGCACCATAGGTTTGCAGAATAGCATCAGCTGCCCCCTCCAAGAGCCTGGGGGCAGATGCTCATGCCAGACCCATGGCCTCTGCTGGCCAGACCTTTATGCACCCTGCTGACAGATGCTCCTGACACTGAGCAAGGTGCACTCCCTAGCTGAAGTGGTCCTTCTAAAAGTTACACTAGAAAATTCTGGAATATCCAGCTTTGGCTGTCAATCAATACCTTCCTTTTGACAGCCAGAAAAAAGTGGTTTAAAAATTCACGTTCCTTTTACGGAACCCTTATCCTTTCACAGAAAAACATTTTGCGAATGATCACGCATCTTGAAGACTGTGCGGTGCAGGCGCAGCTATTGTTATCACTCACCAGAATCAGGATCTACTGCTGCTCCACCTTTAACTGTCAGCTTCATTTTCTTTTCAGACTTGCTAGGTCCTGCAGTGAAAGAGTTTACGTTTTTCTCCTAGGCAGGCAACACAGTCTGACTTGAATCAACATTTAAATCCTCAATTTGCTTAATTATCACCCTAAGGAGACTTCAAATCAGATTCCCAGTATATGAATATGACGACTTCAATGGCTTTTACCTGATTTTAGCAGCCAATTCACATCCCCCGCTCCTCCAACTAAACAAAAAACAACATCTCCCCAGATTCTATCTATCTCCTTCTCCTAGGTAGCTAGTGATAGGATGAGAGGAAATTACCTCAAGTTGCACCGGGGAAGGTTTAGATTAGATATCAGGAAAAATTTCATTACTGAAAGAGTGGTCAAACATTGGAACAGGTTGCCCAGGGAAGTGGTGGAGTCACCATGCCTGGAAGTGTTCAGAAAACATGTAGATGTAGCACTTCAGGACATGGTTTAGTGGGCATGGTGGTATTGGGTTGACGGTTGGACTTCATGATCTTAGAGGTCCTTTCCAACCTTAATGATTCTATGATTCCTTCCTTCTGGCCCCAAGGAGTGGGCCATCTAATTTTATCACCTGCATAGCAGATAGAAGTCCCATTTGTGGTTGTGTTTAAGTGGGATATAAAAATCTCACAGGGTGTGGGAGGTGTTCAGGTCCCCTGGAGATCCTGCTGCTGTGAGACAGTCTGGCAATAACATATCCAATTGTATGACAGAAACCTACACTTGGAGGACACGGAGAAGAACGAGATCTGAGGACAGGTAAGCAGATGCGATGGTTTTGTTCACTGTCCAGCACTAATAATACAAACTCTCTATGGCATTGGTGAGGAATGCCACTGGTGTTGGCTATTTATTTTTCCTCCTTTGTTAAAGAACTTTATGTTCTAAAGCAAGTAGAACAAGGATTCATTTCTCTGAACGCCAGTATTTTCTCACTTGCTAACACTCCTTGGGAGTCATGGTAGTGTCTGTCACCTCTTGGGGCCCTAGCACCTCCTTGGAGGCACAACACCGACCCAAACTGGGAGACACTGAGGTGTTACAAGGAAGAGTCTGGACTGATGTCAGGGAGCCTGGGCACGTATCACACAGAAGATCTCTGAAGCAAGACTCAACTAGGGGAAACAAAAGCCAGCTCAGGAGACAGCTTCATGTTTACTTAAAGCTAGGCTTGCCCCGAGGTCTCATTATTTAAATTTATCATGAGAAAAAGGGCAAAGAACTCAAGGAAAGGGCAAGGAAAGACTACCCAGGTTTGCTTTGTGCATGCACAGCATTGAACAGGCCTGTGAAGAAACAGCCACTTTGTTCTTCACCTTGTTCTTCTTTGACCTTCCCAGCACTCTTCATGCTTGGGGGCTTGCTGCACTTCCCATCCACGGCCATTTCCTCGTGCTCCATTTTCACCTCTGCACCCCAAGGCGAAAGCGCATGGAGAGACACAAGCTCCTGAAAATCCTTGCTAGAGGATTTCACATCGTGAAGAAACTCCTCTGAGACCACACGGACTTTGGCCTCCTTCACTTCTTCCATCTTCTTGCTCATCTTCTCCACATCCTCTGTAGAGGCAGAGTGGGAAACAAGAGAAAAAGCATGAGTGAGGTTTCAGACTTTAGCCCCTCCCCTCTATCCATGATTCAGGGTTCTGTAACACTTTGTGGAAACACAATTCCACCACATTTTGGATTCGCCATGTTCTTTGCAGAGCAAAATCCCCATCAGCTCAAAGCTGCAGCTTGGGCTACAGTAGGAACACTCATGTTTTATCTGGCTGGTCCAGCTCTCCCCTTCCCAGAGCTAGGCTAGGGCTGTACAGTCCATCTCAGATCTCCTGCCAGGTGGGAGCAGTTCTACCTCAGCAGCCAGTCTGCACCTTGACTCCAACAGGGAGCAAGAGCAGACCCTAAGGTGCCAGCAGAGAAGAGAACTGCTCTCAGGCACCCACAGACAGCTCCGTGGCTTCTACAAGGCAAGCATGGACACAGCTCCCAGCACCTTTCATCCCAACAAGGGTGGCTCACACACCACCACGATCTGCACACAGACCCGAGCTCCAGCTGCTGCAGACCTGGGCACAACCCGCAGGACTAAAGTGCTAGGTAAGTAAAACTCGAAACAGCACGCACCTGTCTTTACTTTTCCGAGCACGCTACGGCCACATGCGCACACAAAACACTCCCCCTAATCCAAACACTGATCCCCAGAGAGCTCCAAGGACGCGTGCCCTCTCTAATCCGCTCAGCTGTTATCAGTGCTACTAGTAACCAAGGCACGGCTGCTCACTCTGTGTGCTGATGCACAGGGTGGCCTTGTTAGCTGTCGTTGTCATCTTTCCTCCCAGCTCCTCCACAACGCTCTTCACCTCTTCCTTGTTCTTTGACAGCTTTCCAACAACCAGGATCTTCATGTTGGTCAGCGGTTTCTCTAGGGGTTTGGAAATAGCACAGCATATTATGAAGATGGGTATGCAGGCACATTATTCAACTGCTTTTTTTTTTTTTTTAAAGTGAAAAAAAGTATCAGTCTCCTTCAGCACTATGCTACTAAAGACTCTGCTGTGATTCCCTCTTCCTTTGATGCCTGGACAGCATGGAAGAAACTCACTGTAACATGAAAGCTCCTGCCTTTTCAAAAGGAAATCTGTTTTGGAAGGGCTGGAGAAAAAGGATCATCTCTCAAGCAACAGTGTTCCCGCGTGTTACAGTACATTTGGATCTTGATCTTACAGACAGCACAAGGCTGTATCACGCAAACTCCATAACAAGTCAGGAGCAAACTGGTAACCATCTGAGGCTACATCACATCATCATGTTAACACCTGGCAATGCAGGTGGGTCCAGGACATGGCAAGTGTCTAAGAGCGTATCTGCACTGCTAAAGATAAATGCTACTAACTCTGGCTGACCAACTGAGAGGTTTGTTTGCTCCTCTCCCCCCACTCAGATTAGTTAGGTTGCTAGCAAACAAAGCAACCTGGCTTTAATTCCGGTCAACACTGAGTCTACTTTCAAGGCACACTGAGACTGGAATCAGCTTGCCAGTCAGAAGCCAGACCTGTGTAACTTCGTCTTCATTGCAAAAATAACATGATCTGGCTAAAATTAGCCGTGCAGAATTACTCCCACCCTTTTCACCAAGTAACAATAATCCCCTGCTCCCAAAACTACAGCCAGGGCTAGAAAGGCTGAATAAGAAAGAAGACAGTATAGTTCTCAGTGGACAGGCTGTATCGCCAAAGCATGCAACTCATTTCAACAGTCTATGGGAAATTTCTGGAGTCCAACCCTTTCCCAACTTGTGGGCTGGCGACAGCATATCTATTTTGCATAAGGGGAGTTAGTGATTGGTAAAGTCAAATCTCAACAGAGGATTTAAAACAACAACAACAACAAAAAAAACCCACAAAAAAACCCACAAAAAAAATCCCAACAAAACAAACAAACCAGAAACAACTACTGCCCTTAAAACCTAACAGCAGATGTGGAATATCTGGCATTATGGAGGTTCCTGGATGTTCCTCAATAAACCAAGCAAGAAGGCATTTCATAGCAGGTCCCCCTTGGGACACATTTTGCAACATCGGCCTTTAAGTTTCTGATTTATTGCAAATACATAAATTTCCCCACCACCAAGAAACACCCGACACGATTTGTTAGACAACGAGGATCTCGAGCCCATGTCCCCAGGTAACCCACTACATCAGGGTTGACTGATGCTAGGAAGATCACGCACATGAGACACTGCTATGCTGTTTTTTACCAGGAGAGCTGTGCCTGCTTGGGGGCAGAAGAACCGCATGCCTGCTCAGGGCGGCATGTTGGAATGGCATTACACACCATCCTGAACTCCACTGACCCGTGCCCAGCCAGTTGCTCACCTCTGGGTGCAGACGCGGTCTCTGTTGAAGGAGCAGATGCGGAGGGAGGAGGCACAGAGTTCCCAGTCGCAGCATCTGGAGGGAATACCCTGTCCTGCTTCTTACACTTGAATTTCTTCAGGTAAGGAATTTCCCGAAACTCCTGTGGGACGGAGGCGTAAGGCGAGTTTAAAAACAACAGATACTATTATAACATTTCAAGGCTAAACTGAGTACTGGACAGATGTTGGCATTTACTGCAGGTCTTGGAAAAGATGTCTGAGACATTCATACCAAGGTAGGCAAATGATCACTTTACCCACTGGGAAAACAAACCTAGAAGAAAGTAAATGATGGGTTTCAAATCAAATCAGCAGTATCTCTTTCAACATAGTGTTACTGGAAAAAATATGATTTAGTTACGCATTAGCTGCCTATTCCCAGACGGATGTAGCTGTGACAGGACCTCCCCACTGTCACAGCTGCTCAGAACTGTGGCACACACTGCTCTCTGGCATCCAACACCAACTGCTGCTTATTCAATCTCCTTACAAGAGGTAACATCAGTTAAGAAACGTGCTTCAGACCATCAAATTGCAACAAACACCCACCTTTGGGATTACCCAGTCTTTCCTTTTGGGAGTCTGCGTTTTAGCAACACACTTAGTCCAGGCAGTAATATCCCCCGAACAGTAATATGCGTCACTCTTGAACACAAACTGCCCCTTACACTCCTCGCAGGGAAGCAGAGCTCCAAATGCCATCCCATCTGCTACTCGGTCCAAAATCTAAAGCAACAAAGAATACAAAACAGGTCATGGCAGAAGGAGGCTGGAAGCCCACACGCTATATTACACTGGGCTGCACAAGAAAATAACAGTCAGGCTGCTGGCACACAAACGTAGATGTTCCTAGTGCTTGTCGTGCATGTGCCGCACATAAACCAAGACTCTTACTGATTGATCTACGACGCTTTGAAGACATGACATGAAGTCTCCCTGGTCACACTGTATCTGCTCCCACCCATGGCCTGCAGTCTCTCCCTACCCCACAGTGCCTGACCAGGCAGCCGTGCCAGAAGAGCCAAGGAGGAGACGAGCTACTGCATCTGAGCGCGTGAGTAGGTAGGTGGGAATGTAGGCTCAGACAAGTCCCGGTTTTCCTGCCTAGAGTGTATTTCTTGACCATTTTGAGTTCAGACACTTCCCACATCCCAGCCCACACTCCTTACAAAGAGCCTTAATAAATACAAATACTTAAAAAGTGATGCGTGGCTCTGAAAGAGAGAAGGCTTTCACAAGTGGCACAGGCTGAAAAGTGACCATTTTTAGAAAACATACCAGGAAAGCATTTGTGCAGTTTTTGCTTCTTTTTGCATAATTTGACAGTTGAGGGATGTGACCTGAAGTGCCACAACTAACCTGCTCTTGAGGAGTCAGCAACAGAAAAACCCCACATGGACCAGTTTGGGCATAGCAGAGTAAAGGCCCATCACTGAGACTAAGACACTGAAGTCAGCATCACACACCACCACACAGCCCTTCACCAGCAAGCGTTAACAGCAGTATCATCAGAGTATAGAGACAAAAGGACTGGGCTTTGCACTGAATTTCTTTCTGAAGCGTTATGTTAGAAACGTGCTTCAGACTTGTGGACCTTGCAGCAATGTTGGGTCAGGTCGGCTACACCAACTCAAAGTCCCAGCACACATGCAGAACAACTACAGACCAACTCACGGCATTCTCCCCTGAAGGAACTTCCTGCTTGTTGGCGATCAGCAGCTCTTTCAGGTCGTTAGTGGAGCAGACCTTCCTCAGCTCATCCTTGATGCCCCAGATCAGCTCCGTCTGCTCCTGTTGACAAAACCCAGCAGCTTAGCTACTTGCAATCAATTGCTTTCTAAGAAGAGACCTGAAACTGCAGTATGTGGACAAGGTTTTAGCAAGCCCATGGTATTTAAACGCAAACTGTGAGATGAACAGCACCATGAACCAGTAGCTTTACCAAAAGAGAGAGTCACACATTTTACTGGAAAACCTAAACCAGGTCTTTAAAGCCACATGCTTCAGATTTCAGTACGAATACACGAGCACATTGTGGCTTCGGCAAATTCTCTTCTCAAGATTACATGTGGAAGGACATCCCTATGGGATTCCATATAAACCAAGGCTTCTCCATCATGTATATGTGAAGAAAGGCCACAGAGTAACCTGTACAGCACTATTGCACACAAGAAACTACAAGCGATACTAACAAGACAGCTACCTTTCAGGTAGAGTGGAATCCATGTTTCTATCACGCTACTACCCATAGCAAGTTCTCAACAGCCTTTGCAAATATCACTTAACTATTTGACAATGACAACAGTGGGGACGTGGCTGCACTGGAGCCTTGCATTAAAAGAAAAATCAGAAATGCTGATTGGCACTGTTCTTCTTTTAAGCCACCTAAGCATAAGAGGAACTTCTACCAGATCAGTCACTTGCAGCAGTGCAGAGAAGCCTGCACATTCTTTTTCACCTTTTGTAGAAAGGCCCAAGAGTTGGACAGCAAAGCATCATCCTAAAATATCTCAGACAGTTTCTGAATGTTATTCACTGGCTACAGTTAAAAATGCAGTCTACCCTGAAAGAATTGGTTGACTGCGTTAAGTGGTTTAATTTTCAGTGTTAATGATCATGTTGGATGAACTGCTGTTACAAAAAGAAAAAAATAGTGAACCCAAAGTTAACCCTGATCCACAAATTGCTTTGATCTATCCTAAACATCTGCATTGCAGCAGCAAAACCTCGATAATGTCTCAGCTAAGTTTTGTTGAGAATTAAGGTATTGCCACACAACAAAAAACTTTTGTTCAAAGGTGGACACACCATTTTTCTACAGCTCCATTAAGACTTCTATTGCAGCAAAAGCAGCTTGTTAATTTTTTTATTGGAAAGTACCTAAGCCAAACTTTCAATAAATACAAAATTTCTGATTCTGTACTGGGAATTCTTCCCACAGTATTCTAGAAAGTGAAAGGTAGAAAGCTGTGAGGTATCACTCTTCGTACTCAAGAACTGAACACAGCTCTTCAAGAGGGTGGAAAATATATGATTTCTCGTTAATCTAGTTTTGCTCTTTACCTCTGCTTAATTTTTACACTGAGCTATTTATTGGTTTCCAAGCTCTTCTGCAACAGCACTCGGGCTCAGAGCTTCAGCCACCACAACCAGCTGATAACAGAAGGACCACAGAACCAGCTTCCCTGAGAGACAAGGCATTTAACCTAATCTATTGAAATCCAGTAAGCATAAGTCCTAGAGAACTTCCTTCCTCTCTTTCAGGAGAAGACAGCAGGGTGAATTGCCTTCAGCAAAGCCGTAGTGACAGGTCATCTCCTGCACCAGGACATGAGGACCAGCTGTGCTGCAACTCTGCTTTGTCTGGGGAGAAGCTACAGCCCGTCTCTAGGTGCCACAGCTCTGCACTTAGTGTCTGACACTGCGCTCTTCTAACGAAGCAGTTTTTAGGATGTCATCAGCTAAAACTCACCTTCAGCTGTTTTTCCTGCTTTGATTCTTTCTCTTTTTCTTTTTTCTGTTTCTTTTTCACAGTCACATTTCCATCTACCTCTTCTCCTTTTCTCTTTCTAATAGAGAAAAACAAAACACACACGTGAAAGGACGTTAATTAAATGCCTGTCCAGCAGTTACCAGAGCTCAGTTTACTGACTGCCGATATCTGCAGAGGCTTGAATGTCCTCGGTTTTGGCAGGCAAACCCATTTTTCAAATTCCTCAGTGCTAGACTGTAGACATGTACTTGGCTCTGCAACTTGAGCCGCCTCAATCAGGTCAGGCACACTTAAAACTTTCTTCACAGGGTGACTGTATGGTCTGGCAGAAGAGCGCACGAAATCCTGTAACATTTTCAGGCATATTCATCTACACCAGTATTAGTTATAGCAGAGGCATTCCTAAAATCAATTAATAGAAGCACATCTCTCCAAATCTGAGGAGGTGTAGCAATGCAGATTAAAAGACTGTAATATCTTTCAGCTGAATCAACAGCTTGATTGTGCAGTTTAGACAGTCCATACTGAAATAAAGGACAGCAAATAATGATAATTTTAATAAGCTTACACACTGGGAAACTAGGTATTTCCCAGCTAGTTTCTCTACGGACTGGAATTAAGTCAGGTCTCTGAAATCAGACAGGAGGAAGTTTCTACTTGCAAAGTGCTCCCAGGCTGATAGTGGTTTTGTGATGTACTACTGTGCAGTTGTGTCAGGAAATTTATTGCTATGAGCTAGGGCTTAGAGCTGCGCAGGGACAAGTTACAGAAAATGCTGCTCGAGAAAGACTGGAAAGAGGAGGAAGCCAAATGAAAACCGGGGGGTTTTGGCAGACTTCAGAATGACAAGAGACCTCAGAGGAAGATCATTTAGTTTCCAGTCATGTCATCCTCTTGGTCTGCCTGGCTTCGAAATACAGCCATATCAATAAATCAAATCAGTGTGTGCTCTCCTCGTGAGGAAATAAAGGGAAATTTTGTCCCTCTGGAGGCAGGAGGGGTCTGGAACTTGTGGCAGAGCATGAACACAGCTTGGATCTCGCACTTGGTTTTGACAGAGCTGCTATCGTTTCAAAACATCAGCCGCATTTCTTTCTAAGAAAGCATCTGTCTTAACTTTATAAGCTGTGGCTGATGGTTAAGCCATAAAGTTGACATGCTCAATTGCTCTCCTACTTAGAATTTTAGACATTTCACTTTCTAGTACTTTGCTACTGTTAAGACTAACCCTGTTTGACAGCTTATTAGCTGTAAAGCTGCAGCAGGATGTTAAAAGGTGCTCTTCTCCCAAAGACTTATGTGTGAGAGACCTGTAAGTTCTACTAACTGTCCTGGCCCTAAAATTGACCCAAGCTCTTGTTTTCTTGGCAGTGGCCACCACTAGCCTGTCACTAGTAGCTCTGACCAAACCACGATTCAGAGCACTTTGCAAGTCTTTTAAGGGGCTGGTTTTGCAGAAGAGCTGATCTTTCAGCTGTCCCCCTTCGAGGTCCCATCAGTTGGAGGTGGGGCTATGCTTTAAGGTGCGGTGCCTCACCGGGGACAACAGCCGCACCATGCTGCCAGCATCTGCTTGCATTTCTTGATAAAAGCTCCATCTTGTTTCCTAAATTGAGCGAGCAGGAACCAGCATGGCAAGACTGGACACAGCACACACACAGCCATGCCGTCAAAAACCCCCAGGCCAAGCAAGTCCCTTCTCCTCCCCAGCAGCAGCCCCTGCAAGGGGCAAGACCAGAGCTTCCACTGAACTCCACCATGAGGATCATGACTTCTGTAAGCTTGAACAGAGTCATGGGTACACAACATAATCTGAGGTAAACATATCAGCTTGAGCACAAAGCGCTCTGCTACACCTTCCCAAGCCAGAGGGCTTAATAATGTAAGTATTTAGGATGGGTGCCCAAATGCTGTGCATCTGCAGTGCCTCTCCCTCGGCCGGCTGACAGTCAGGCTGCCTCCAGCAAGCCAGCGCTCACTGCTACGCTGTGACTTGTCTCCCAGTCTCCAAAAAGAGGAAAGCCAGCACACCAACTGCTGGAAGGCGATCACCCTGCCGAGAGGCCCTGGGACCCAGGGAAAGCATTTAAATTCCAGCAGGGACTCACACTTTTGGCAGCTTCTCAGAGTCCAGGGGACAGCAGGTTGCTCTCCCAGACAGTGCCATTACTGTACCTGTTCCAGCCACTTGAACAAACCGCACAGCAGGAGGGATCTTTCTAATTGCAAAGACGCATAAAGCTGTCAGTCACCGTCTTCTCTTTTGTCCCTGGCTATGCCCAAGGCTTAAAACAAACACCAATCATCATTTTATACAGTCTGGAGAAGGGAATGGCAAAGCTGACTTCGTCTTACATCTTCCCAAAACAGCAAATTTCAGAACAATCGACAAAATACACATACACATGAATTTTATCTGCCATCCTTGGGACCAAACACTGTGTGTTGCTACTGTGTACACCCTTTCTCCTGGTGGGGAAGGGAGAGTCTTTCCACACCAAAGAGGCACAGCCCAACAGTTTGCTTTGAAGGACCGGTACTCACCAGCTGACACGAATCACTTCTCACCTTCATGGAGGACACACAATTAGAAGAGTGAACTGTCCCACTCTAGCCTGGCCCTTCCTTAACGCCTACTCTATTTTCCATGTCCTCCCTACAATGAAAGGGAAGGGTGGAAAGGACAGTCACGGCAACCCTGGATAAAGCAAGCAGCTGACACAGGGAGGAACGGCTTCTCTTTTCTCCTCCCTGTAAAGCACCAACAGATTGCTGCTGACCTGTGTACTTACCCTCTGCCTCAGGCAACCTCTGCAGCTAATCCGGTGTTGTATGACATCTCCAGAACAGACGCTTTGCTCCTGTCCTGGGCAGCAATTCTACCCAAGCAAGTGAGGCAGAAAGTACAGGGACGTATTACAGCTCAGCAAAGGAGGGCGAAACACACGCTACCAAAGTGGCACAGTCAAAGGGAGCTCACAAGCTGCTACTGCATTTCCTACAGCAGTATCTGGGCACTCTATGCTGGCAAGGACACAAGATCCTCCTTCCCCAGGCCTGCAACGTGCTGGTGCTCGGGACGACAGCCTGTAGCCCAGGGGAGGTTCAGCATGTCTCACCCAGAGCCGATCGAGGAAGAGCCGGGACGCTTGCAGATTCTCTTATATGCAATAGGCACGACACACTGCCATCCTTTCGAAAAGGGCTGACAGGGCAGTCCCAAAGTCTGAACTTCTCCTCGGAGCATGGGCTAGACATGCAGAAGCAGCACATGAATTTGGATGAGTCACATCTCAATTGCAGAGACATCTGAGTCAAGATATAATTTGGACGCAGCACAATTAGAAATAACTTTAAAGATCATTTTGAGAATCTCACCTACAGCAGATGCTGTAACATCATTTCTGCGAGATGCTGTAATTTCTGTCGTTAATTTCTGTTATCTGACTGAATGCACAAGATGAATTATCAGAGGTAACTGCATCTTACTCAAGCTTCTGGGGTGTTTTTCTTTCTGCTCCTCCAGAACTTCCGTGCTTTCTTGGCAGAAAATCACCAGGTAGGAAGCACACCACACATCTGCATTCATTCTCTTTATTTACACTCTCATTCATTCAGTTTGTTTGACAGACAACTATTTTTCCAATTGACCCTTAATACCCTTGGCTCAAGCACACAGCCCAAACAGCAGAAGAAAGGCAGTGGAGCGCAAGAGCCAGCCAGCACCTTCACGGTTGAGGGGCTTGTTCATGCAGTGCTTAGAAAGCAGGAAAGATGAGATGTCCTGCTGCTTTTCTGGCATGAGGTCCTGTTTCACTTTACTCTCTAACACCAGTCTAAGCTTTTTTCCACTGTAATTCTAGGCTTTTATTTACACAGTGACTTGGCGAACTACCCTGTGGCCTATCTTCACAAAGCCTTCGTATTTTGCACAGCATCCCAGAAGTGGCCCAGAAAAGCAGAGTCAGGGCAGACTAGAGGAACACTTACACAGTCAAACATGTAGAGCTTTGCTAAAGACATGGGAGAGAACTACAAATAACCCTATTAAACCCACACACTGCTCTAGGACAAAGCAGAACACGCACCTCGACACAAAAAGCAAAGGACTACTTGAAAAGCTGCCAGCGCATTACAACGCTGTCCTACTTACACCCTGCAACACACACGGAGGTAAAAATGCGTGCGTGAAAAGATGGCAGGCTGCTGGGCAGATGCAGACAGCTCGTCTCAGCCTCCAGTGGTTCAGCTGAGCAAGGTGAACAGTGCAGAACCTGATGGGACTTGGTCAGGAGCACCCACTCCTGCGCATCACAGGACCCTCCCCAGGGCACCCGCACCACTGCTGAATGCTTCTGGAGCAACTGCTTACCAACCAACGCTAAAGTGTGGAAGTCGAACAGCAGCCTCAACACACAGATGAGTTTATGCACGTTCTGCCTTATTACCTATGGCCCAGGATGGCATTCACACATACGCACGGCTCTGAATGGCACGCCATGCCCATCAGTCACATATCTGGAGGATCAATACTGACAAAGAGTGCACAGATTTGACACAGCCACATCTTCTCAGAACTCAGTATCATTCTCACTGGACAGTTTCATGGTGAATCCTTGCAACGGCAAAGCTGAATTCAGCCTACAAGGTACATGGAGAAGCCAAAAGTTTTACAAAATCAAGATCTTTCCTATTTGTAGGACCCAGGAACACCTTAAGTTCCTTCCTCCATGGGGACAACGCAATGCTGGTTTGTGTTATGAAGGATGGCTCTAGGTGAAGTCACTTCAAAAACAAGCAACAAAAGCCTTCATTAACAGAGAAAGATTGACCAAAGCTAGCAAGCCACCTAAAAGCATTTCTCTCTGTCAGTGCAAGTTCTATCAAGAGCCTCCACTAAAAATTTCAATGCAAGGCAATGAAATTTCAGTCGTACCATAAAAGATTTAGCAAACAAAAGCATCCAAGCGTAATCACTATGCAGCCAATAAACACCATTATCAGATTCAGTGCCTGTCACAGATGAGCAGCTCATAGATAAGAGATGTCAAATCAATTCTCTAACAAGCAGTTACAGCAGAGAAACCGTCACTGATAACAGCATCGCACAAGAAGGCACAGAGCCCAGCATCCCTTTGTATTAAGCACGCATTATTTTATGGTTTAAAGCCCTACATCAGTCCTCCAAGTCACAGCTGCTGGTCTCTGTATTTTCTCAAGGCAGTCACAGGAACCAAGCGAACTGCACGCTTCCAGGGACAGGGAATTTGTCTGCTGTCATCTGCCTAAGGTCACAGGAAGGACCAAATTCTCCTATGACCAATATTCTTTTAAGAGAGACAACAATGTCACAAAATGTTTATCATGGATATATTTGAAGGCAAGCAACAGCTCCTCTAGACAACGCAATCTGTTGCATTCCCCACCTACCCTTCACTTTTGGTAGCTGGGAGCTGCTTCTTGAGAGTTTCTTTATCTTCAGCTTTCAAGATGCTGAAGCCCAGGAGCTGGGCAGCTCCGTATGCCGGGAGGAAGCCCAGCTCTGCTCGACGGCTCACAAAGCAGTCCGGGTGGTACCAGTTATCTATCATTCCCAGCTGTGGCTTTTCAGGATGCACCATCTTCTTGGAAATCCGGATCTGGCCCTACGGTAGATTAAAGTAACACAAGAGTAATTGTTAGGCCTTCCTGGAAAGAGCAGGACATTAACAAGCTTGTTACCAACATAATGCTTTCTAAGGACCTGTAAAATAGCATCAGTTCCTCTATCAAAGCACACAACTTTTGTTCAAGTCCTTTCACTACAGTTTCTCTGCTTTCTTCAATACTCTTTCTAGGTTGAAAAATCCCTGCTTTTTTAGATAGTTTTCTGTTCAAAAACATACTCAACACAGGTAATGCTGTAGTCTTTACTCCAACTCCTAGTAAGCTTAAACAAGGAAAACTCACTTGACCCAACCCCATGCAGGCAACTAAGAATTAACTTTATGACCCTACCACTCAAGCATCAATACTAATATAATCTCACTCTGTCTTGCTGCAAACGACTTTTCAGATGCACAATAAGCAGTTGCTTTAGGTGCTTTTAGACTGCAATGCTTCATGCACCAACAAGGAAATGCCTCCACAACAGTCAATCATTGTTTCTGCAGATACAAGCACACTAGCACTGGTGTTCAGCCCTTGCCATCTTTACCCAACCGGCAGGTCTATTCACGTCTATCCGAGGCTCACAACTTCATTTTGTCAACTGTCTTGGTGCTGTGCTTTTAAAGACACGTTCAACTACAGGGCTGCATCATTAACTAGCTGCATTGCTGTTTCCATCTGCTTTCATGGAGTTAACATGGATTCACTGCACACAAAGAGAGCTGGTCCGGCTGAGGAGGAAGAAGAGGTCAACAACTTTGCACTGTCGCAACAAGCAGGAAAAGCTGCAGTTAGTGGTGGCTCTCTTGCCACAAAGCTGCTGGCAAGCAGCATTCCAGCCTGCTCTAAGACCCAAGTGAAAGGAAGCATCAGTAGGTTTGAAGCAGGCTACATCGCCCGAGGGATGCCTTTACTGTCATCTGTCCAGGACACAGCTGCTCCTCAGACACAGAAATGCAGCTCTGCAAGTGCTTTCCATATGCAGGACCAAGAGGAAGCAATTACAGAAGTCACTGTTTGAATTGGAACTAGTGAGAGAAAAGATACGAGATGGAGAGAGAAGAAAAGCTTTTTACCTTTTCTATTTTCTGCTCACAACCCTTGCAAGTACTTCTGTTAGACTTGGCATATTCTGCAGCAAAGTCATTTAGGCTCTTCTCAGCCTTGCCACCTCCTTCCTGGTCCCCTCCTTTTCCTGAAGAACAAAGAAAACACAGAGTTCAGCTTTAAAAGGCATTCTTTTATTCTCTTATTCTCTGTCCCAGATTGTTAGTAGTCCGGATTAATAAACCTCTGTGTTCCAGCAACTCGTCTGTCAAGAATTTGAATACACAGCAAGATACGCAGTCCATGCTCAAAAGCACTTTTAAAATAGAAACAGTTCTTTAAACAGCCAAGTAGCAATCATACAGGATTGCTTATTTCATGACTTTAAAAGACTTTCAAAGGTGCACAGACTTGACCCTTTTTACTTCCTTCCTGAAAGTAGTGTAAAACGAGACCTTACTGAAGAACTGACTGTAACAGGAGTCACAAATAGCTCTGCTTCAAAGCAGAACTCCTCTTCCCAATGGCCGATTTCCTTTTATTTTTTGCATTACTGCATTTCAACACACAGACATCAATTTAAAACTGCCCAGCATCCTTGGTTTACACAGTGAGTTCAGTCTGCTCTGTACCTGGACCCTTCTCACTTGCTCCGCTGACTCACTAGTTCATGGTGTAACAATTTCAAAGAGCCACCACAACCATACCCTGCAGTGAAGGTACCATTAAAACAACATACTACAACAGCATTTGTAAATATTAAAGAACTGAAAACAAAACACACCAATCACGATAACAAGAAATATTTGGCAATACATCTGCCAACCGATTTGGCTTTTTCCCTTGTTGATTTAACATGCTGGATCATATGCCAGCGTCCTAGCCCTGGAGTGGAGAGACGCCACAACAATTCTTCCGACATCACTGGCTGAAGGGACACGGCAACCAAATAACCGCAATAACAGCTTGAGAAGAGGGGGCATAGTTCCAGTTGAATCTCCAAACACCAGGAGACCTCCACTTACCTCCTCCAGGGCCTCCAGTTTCAATGGCTTTCTTGATTTTCTCCTGATCTTCCCACCGGAGCTCAGTGAAGCCGTCAATGTCCGCGTGGGACACGATGCGAGCCCGCTTCCAGAAGCAGCTGTAGTGGTGCCAGTGAGGGACTTTGCCATCAAACATGGGCGACTACGAACAAAGTACATTAGGCCAAGATGAAGCAACTCAGACAGACTCAAGGGGAAAAAAAAAAGCAAGATAAAAAGGAGTACCTGGGTAAACACAAGTGATTTTCTTTTTTTTTTAAATTAAGAGATGAATGCTATTTAGGACAAAGCCTAAGAAGAAAATCTAATCTGTCAGACAAGCTGCTAGAGAGAGATCCCAAAGGGGACAGATATAGAAGCAACATTTACCTAGCTTAACCAGTTCATCGCCCCACTGCTTACCCTGTTTGTTTTACTCAAAACAAAAAGGTCATAGCCTCCACATGGCTATTCCAACCCTGAGCAGACAAGGAGAGGTTTCTTCTCTATAAGAATCAGAAGATCTGCAGGTACCAGCAAAGTAGAACAGAGGCTGTGGAAAAAGTAACATGAGCAACAGCACGTGGCTCATCTGCTACAACCTCCTTCGAGACTGCCGGAGCACAAGAGGCTGTTGGCCTTCCTTCTGCAGGATCCCCGAGCGCAACACACAATCCCTTTGACAGCCACTTCTCAAGCAAGTTGTCCGTGACCCCTGGAAAGCCCATCACCAGGAACAGGACAGGAGGAGCAGCTCCAAGGACTATGGCCCAAATAAATTCCTGAGGGGGCCGCAGGAGGCAGAGGCAAAATTTAAGAGAAACACCAGAGCCCAATGAAGTCCTGCACCAACACATAAGCATCGCCCAAGTCTTCCCTGAGCTCCAGAGTGCCCTGCGTTGCACCAGCCTCATGGAAGTATTCCGCTTGCTTATGACTCAGATACATTAAGTACCAACCTGGCATCGTTGCGGTTACCCATCAGACAAAATAACCGTGTAGAGGTTTGGCTGTAAGTAACGCACGCAAACAACTGGTGTATTAATAATACTGAGTGTTGCATAATTATTCTTACTGATGATACAGAATGAACGACCTAGGAAAACGTTCTACTTATCACTCACCAGCAGAAGGGAGATCTCCAAGCTGAAAACAACAGCAGAGAGTTTCATGCATGAGCAGGAAGGAGGAGGAAAGAGATTCAAAGACCACTGCATAGGACTGGGACAGCTGGGAGCCCCAATTACAACTAACCATCAACCAAAACAGTAAGAGGACATCTATATTTCCAGCTGGACTCTTCCCACAAGCCAGGATTTGGATTATCCTGTTACCCTCACAGCACCACAGCCACACAGCAGCCACCCTGGGCTTGCTCTCAATGTGTCTGGAAGTTACACACAGGTCTGGCACTGAAAGCTGGTCACCCTTGAGCCCTGGGCTCGTGTTTGGAGTTTTCCTGAAGGACTCCTCATGGCTACATTCCTAACACAAAAGCTTGCGGGGCATAAGGCATCAGGGTGCATGGCAGAGGGCACAGCTGGCTCAATCTTTAAGATAACCATGCAAGTAGTGAGTAGATCTCCTTCACTACACAGAGCTGAGCACCTGGAGCACGACTTTGCTCTGTCTGGGAAATGAAACCTCTAGGCGAGATAGACCTTGTTTACACAACTGCTCTCAGCTCACCTATCTCTAGACTATAGCTTCCTAAACAAAACATGGAAAAAAAGAGTCCAATTCACTTTCCCATTGCACACGCAGATAACAGAAACTGCTCGGTTCCAGCTGGAAGTAAGAGTCAAAGGCATGCTGATCGTGCCCGCGCTGTGCCAAACATCGAGCATCCCACCATTGCTCAGGGCTCTTCACTTCAAAAAACAAAACAAAAGGACAGTTATAGAAGAAATGGCACCCAGCTAATGACTTGGTCTAGGCCTGCCTTTAATTTATTTCTTCTGCACAATTTGCAAAAGACCTCTGTGCACTGAAGGCGGCGCAGAGGCTGCTCCACAGGGGATTTCCCCAAGAGGAAACAAGAGGCCCGCGTGCTCTGGTGAAATTTGGGCCCTTGCAGGGGGGATGCTCAGCTGCAGGGTGTGAAAAGTGCTCTGCTGGCACAAAAGCTGACAGGGGGCAGAGGGAGCCCTTTGCAGAAGAAATGACGCAAATTCAAGAAGGTTGTGGGGGGAAAAATAAATAAATACAAGTGGTTGGTGTAAGACCAGCAGTTTTGGGAGATGGTTGGCTAAAAGGCAGTGGCTCTGTGAAGGATGCCACAGTCCCAGCTGTCCCCCTCCACCTGCCCCCAGGAGATGGCTCGATAAACCTAACCCTACAAAATCAAACATGCTCCCTGAACTAAGGCAGGCAGCGGTCGGCTCGCATCAGCATAAACCGCTGGGAAAGACAGGGAGAGACAACAAACGTGCAGGAACCGGAGAAAGAGCAGCAGGAGCAGGGGAGGAGAGCGGCCACCTCCAGCAAGCGACCGAGGGCAGCAGGAGAAACAAAAGAAGAGGGCGGCAGGAACACGTGCGAGCACACGCTGCAGCTGAGCATCCTTCCCAGGAGAGGGGGGTTCTGGGGAACAAAACCCGCCCCCTTCGGGGAAACAGCTCCTGCCTCCAACCCGGGCAGACCTGTCAGCCCTGCCCCGGCAGCCAGGCATGCCCCAGGGGGAGCCCCGCCGCCTCAGGAAGCCCGGGACCTTCCTCGCCCGTCTCCAGGCTCAGCCTCTCCCAGGGGTACGAGGGACTCTCGGTCGCACAGAGGGGGTACGTTCTCCAGAAATCGCTCCTCAGCACCCACCTGCAGGGCTCTGCTCTAGCCTTCGCACCCCCCGTCCTTGTTAACCTTCCATAAATAAACAAATACACGTATATGCATTCGCCTATCTTTCACAAGGCACAGCAACACACGCCAAATTCAGCCCGCCGTCCCTCCGCACCACCGGAGCGCTACGGGTGCCTCTCCATTCCTCTCGCTAGAGACAGGCCCAGGCCCGCAGCCTGGGAGCGCAGCCCTTCGCCCTTCCCGAGCAAACCCCCCACCTCCCCTGCTGAGAGGCCGGATCCCTCCCCATCCTCCCACAACCGGATGCGATTTCAGGCCGGTCAAGGCGGCTTGTACAGATCTGTGCACAATTCCCAGCCCTCCAACACCAGACGGGGCCCTTCCCTTCGTTTTGAAAAGAAGCCGAGCAAGTCTCTTCCCCAAAAGGCAAATAATTTGGGGACAGCTGACAGCAAAACAGGCCTTCGCGTTCGGTTTGTTAATTGCACCCCAGCTCTCTGTTTCATG